TCAAGATACACGTGTTTGGAAAAGACTAGATAGGCTCCTTATGAACCCGGAATGGTAGTGGTTATTTCCGTCATGTCATGTGCAGCACCTTAATAGGGCGGCTTCGGACCATAGCCTTTTGTTTTTGCTGCTTCAAACTCACACTGACACGGGGTCTAAGTCGTTTCGATTTCAAAACATGTGGCTTAATAATCCCACCTTCATAGAGATAATACGACAGAACTGGACTCAGCCCGCCTCCGATTATGGTATGAGATGATTCCTCCATAAGTTGAAGCAGTTAAAGTAGTCACTGCAAAAGTGGAATCGAACGACTTTTGGAAATGTCTTCGACAAGGTAGCGCAAGCGAAAGAGGTAGTGAGACAAAGGGAGATTCAACTGGGCACGGATCCTATGGAGTCAGGCTCACGCTTCACTACTAAAACGCCTAGCAAATGAAGAATCTTTTTGGAAACAAAAAGTGAGGGTTAAATGGTTGCGAGAAAGAGATAATAATACAAAGTTTTATCATGCATCCCTTCTGCAGAAACGAGCAAGCCTAGCTATTAAAAGAATTAGGACTGCTAAGGAAGATAACATAGAAGGGGACGACAACATTGGAGCTGCAACTATTGAATTTTTTAAGGCCTTATTGGTAGAGGTTTCGCCTATAAATAATCATGCAACATAGGAGTTATTGTTAGTCACTCCGCAACAAAACAACCAGCTAACGCAAAAGGTTATATGAGACGAGGTCAAGAAAGCAGTCTTTGGACTCGATGGCCAAAGTGCAGCAGGTTGTGATGGGTTTGGAGGATATTTCTACACCCACTACTGGGAGATTGTCTCGGAGGATGTCTTGCAAGCAGCTCGTGAGTTTATGTGCGGGGTTTCCATTCCTAGGGGTATCTCAAGAACTATGGTGGTTCTTATCCCTAAGAAAGACTCGCCTATTTCGTTTACAGATTTTAGATCGATCAGTCATCGTACATTCATTAACAAGGTTTTCAGCAAAATCTTGAGCAATCGGTTAAAAATGGTGTTGCCTGCCCTTATTTCGCCTAAACAATCTGCTTTTGTTAGTGGAAGGAAAATTTTAGATAATAAATTACTTGCACAGGAACTGATTCGGTCCATTGACAATAAGACCCGATGGCATAATGTCCCTTTCAAGTTGGATATGATGAAGGCATTTGATCACGTTTCCTGGGATTTTCTATCGCGACTGCTGATTCGTTTTGGGTTCTATCCTCGCTTCGTCTCATGGATTTTAAATAAACTAAATTCAGCGTGGTTCTCAATACTTGTCAATGGGAAGCCTCATGGGTTCTTCCAAGTGAAGCGTGGGTTGAAACAAGGAGATTCGCTATCTCCCTTCCTCTTTATATTGGTATCGGAGGCTCTGAGCCGAGGGCTACACAATTTGCTCTCGTTAAAAAAGCTGAAGTCGTTTGCTACAGGTCGAGGGTGCATTCTGGTATCGCATTTGGCATTTGTGGATGACGTTATTATTTTCACAAGGGGAGACTGGAGATCTGTGAAAAACTTCATGGATTTCTTGGAGTTATATCAGAAAGACTCCAACCAAGAAGTAAATATAGAGAAAAGCTTCTACGTGACATCTTCCAAAGTGTCCAGCTGCTAGGAAGCGGTTAATGTCCCCCGTTGGACCGGGTTTCCACAAAAAAACTCTTCCCTTAGTCTACTTAGGATGCAAGGTATTCAAAGGGGAAGCAAAAGAATGTCTACTTTCAACATTTAATTGACAGAATATATGGCAAGCTTGCGGGCTGGAAAAACAAAGTGCTCTCAACGGGTGATCGCTTAATACTCATCAAGCACGTCTTGTCGACTATACCATTACACTCATTTGCTATTCTGGAACCCCCTAAGGGTATATTGAATCAGCTGGAGAAGATAATGTCCGCTTTCTTTTGGGGTGAGGTTGATGGGCTAGACAAGCAACATAGTAAATTGTGCAAGCCAACACAAGAAAGTGGGTTGGGGTTAAGGCAGCTGCATGACATCTTACAGGCTTTTGGGTGCAAGCTCTGGTGGAAGATGAGGGTGACTTGAACATAATGGTCCCGATTCATGTGATCAAAATATGTCTCGCCTTCTTAGCACGTGTGTAATGTTGCGCTTAGGCCTTCGAGCTCAGGGTGCTGGAAACGAATGTTGGGTGACGGGTATTTTACATACGTGCAAGCTAAAAAATACCGAATTACACCCGTTCACTGCAAGTATACAGATCAACTAGTAGTTTAGGGTATATATCGGGTCGATCCCACAAGGAAGAGTGAACAATTACCGGTATTACTAAAGTTTCTCTATTATTTAGACTATCAATTAATTATAAGAAATTTAACCTACTGAAATTATACAAAATAACAAATAAAAGCTCCTTAGGTTGTGGTATCCCTAACTACTCATGCAAGTGTTATATTTGGATCATTGAATACTACATCTAGGCTAGTTATGGTGTAATTTCCTTATGCATTTGAATCCTACTTTCGTAGTGAATCAATTATACTCATAACTAATCCATACCTATTCTCATGGTTATGAAATTAGCTACAAGTTCATTTCTTCAGTGAAATTACATGAAATAAATCACTAAAAACCACATAGGTGCACCTCTACTCTCGTGAGTGTACTCCCTATGTTTAGCACTTCTTGAACTAGTGTTAAATCTCAATTTTCATTGCAGAAACAACACCTTAGATAATCAGAATTAATGGTACCAGATTAATCATGATTTAAAGAGCCAAAGTGCTAAATAACTTGCTCAAATCATAGCAAACAAATAACCAAATAATAAATACTAACAATTATAGAAAGTTCAACCAAACCCAAGGCTTAAACTTTAGATACACATATTTAACATAAAATCCAGAAATTGCATATTAACTAAATTTGGAATCAAGTACAAAAGATAAAGAATTGGAGAAGAGATAACCCTTGTCACATGAGCTTCAACTCCTCCTTCTTCATCTCAATCTTCATCCTAATCTAGCAATATACAAGAGTGGATGAACTAACTAGCTAAACTATACTACACTAATCTAATACTAAGAGAATGGAAAAACTACATTTCTGCACTTCCAAGCTTCTCCCGTATCATTCCTCATAGACCTCAAATGTCTCTACATATAAGCTGATGAAAAGTCCTTCCCTTACCAGTCATAAATTTCTGCTATGACTCTCCACTTTGATTCTCCAAATCTGGATTTGTTAAGGGAGTCAAAAATAATGGCTTTTGACTTGGAACCTTGGCTATATCTCTTCCTTATGTCTTCTGAAGCATGTGCAGCCTACGTTTTCTCTCCAACTCTAGCTGGAAAGTAGTGTGAAGATGAGAAAAATGGCTGAGCAAATTACAGAAATTCGGCTGCCATACACGTTTTTACTTTTGACCTCACTTCAACTGCATTTTTCTCCATGATGAAGGCCGAACTGGCTTTTGTGCAAAACACAAAAGTTGTAGCCCTTTGAATTAGAGTTCCAATGCTTCAAGAATCATCTAATTTGGAGATCGGTGGACTGAGATATGGTCAAAATACCATAGACTGGTCAATTCTGGGCTTCAGCTTTCGACCATCCAGATAAGTTTCTGTGTTTCGACCTTTTGACCAAGAAAACGGCTGAATTGGACTTTGATGTATTCATACCAAATGTAGATATATCTCTTAGCTTCAAAATGGTACCAAGATCACCTTGATCCGATCATTGTAGCTCCTGATATAGTCAAAATACGAAAATGTGTCTGAGTTGTGAAAGCTGACTTTTCTTGATTTTTGTCCTCAAATTGCATTTCTTCCTTTTACACTTCATATTTTATTTTCACAACTTTAATCCATCATCAATAATCCAAATATATTCTCAATGCACTTCATTTGATGATTGAATCATTAAACCTACAAAATATGAAGTTTTTACCATAAAAATCCATAAAATGCAATGTTTAGCCAATTTAACATAAAATGTAGATTTTTACCAAAACCTTAGTTATTTTAGTTATAAAACTAAATAATCAAACCAAAATTAACTAATAAAACACACTAAAAATACGTAAAATAAACCCTTGTCATTGGGTGTCTAAAACTTTGTTGAGGAACACCTGCAGCTGTTGATTAAGGATGGTAGCTCCTCGTTTTGGTATGACAATTGGTTTGGATCAGGTCCTCTTGGGGCTCACAGGTTGCAGGTGCCGCTGCCCAATGTTCGTATTCGAAACTTATTTGATAATGGGACTTGAAAGTTGGACCTAATAGCAACGGTTTTAATACAGGAGGACAGGGTGCAGATTCAAGGTGCACATATCTAATTAGGTGCGGGCAAAGACTCGATGGTATGACGTCCAACAATGAGTGGATGTTTCTTAATATCCTCTGGCTTGGAACTCCTTCGACAACCATCACACTCAATGATATCAAGGAAGCTGATTTGGGATAAGCGGGTTCCACTAAAGGTCTCAAATTTTATGTGGCGGTTGCTCAACCTCGCACTTCCTTTCCCAGAAATTCTGAGGCATTTCGGCTTCAATCTCCCCTCCAAGTGCCGTTTTGCGAAAATGAAGATAGTATATCTCATGGGTTTGTTAGGTGCCCAGTAGGGGCTTCGGTTTGAAGAAAAATGGAGCAAGTGCTTGATATTTACACTTCACCGGCGGATGAGTTAACGCTCAAATTGCAAAGCTGGTGGCTACACTTTTTTGGACATTCATAAAGGTTGAAATAGCTCAGATTGTCCCTCTATACATTTGTTGGGAACTATGTAAAGCATGGAACAAGACAGTTTTTGAAGGTTGCATCATGACAGCTGATCAGATCTCTACACAAGCGCTTCACCATCTACAACTCACTTCTTTGGCTCACCCCTTTGTTACCATGAACAATAGTGTTGGATCTCTTAGAAGGGTCTTGTCATCTATCACAAAGACCAGGGCTACAAAGCTTCTATGTTTGGCATGGAGTCTCCCCCCTTTCCTCACCGTAAAACTGAACATTGATGGGTTTTCATGGGGAATCTAGGAAATGTCGGGGGTGGAGGAATTATTCGTGACTCATACGGCCGTGTCCTTAGATCCTTTTCATCGTTCTATGGCTACCAAACGAACACCAAAGATGAGGCCATGGCTATGTTGGAAGGCTTGGAACTATGCATATCCTTGGGCTTGAGCAATGTTATTGTTGAGACGGACTTGCTTACTTTGCTCAACACGGTTAAGAGGCTGCAAAGGTGTCCCTGGCGTATACATGAGGAAGTAGTGGGGATCTCTAATATGTTGGCAAGTGCGATGTTCACTTTAACACACTGCTACAGGGAGATTAACTTTGCAGCAAGTGGTCTTGCAAAACTTGCGGTGCAGAATAGGATTTCGTCAGTCTATGGGGCTAACATGCCGCTGGCAGCAATCACAGGTGTGATTCGTTTAGATGCTAGGCAATTTCCTTAAATTCGCCAAGTGACCGACATGTAGTTTTCTCTTCCCTTGTAATGTTCTCAATTTTAAATAATATAAGGGTTGGCGACCCAACCCTGTGATCAGGGTTTGCCAAAAAAAAAAAACTTTCTTATGGCTAAAATTGACAAAAAATTATTGTCAAGTAACTTCTCTAATATTTGAAACTATTGTAGTTGGTTGAGAACTTTTACGTATCGATATGACTTTTTAATTTAGAAAATTTTGTTATATTCTTTAAGAGGCTTTGCAGCATAAAGTTTATTAACATATACACATCACTATATTATTGAAAAAAAACTAGGCTAGCATCAAATTTTACTAATTAAATTTTGTAAGGGGCGTAAAGTTATCGTTTTAAAAGTAAAGGACAAAAAAATTCATTGGACGAAATATGAGAGATATTTTGAACGATTTTCCCCTACACATTATATCTGATCTTACTAGGATATCGTAGGAAAAGAATTAGAAAATGCTTTTTCTTATTGCTTTTAAAAAAGAAAAGCAGACCCAACTAATACTTTCATAGCTTTCTCAAATGAAGAATTTTTTTGACAAAAAAAACCCTTCTAGAAAATCCTTTTTAAATTTTTTAAGAAAAAAAGAAAAATTATCTTTTTGATAGAGCACACTTGTCAATCTATTATTTTTGTTATTTGGATTCTAATGACATTAATCACAAGGAAGTATTTCTAATTTGGCCGAACTTAAGGATTTGTTCATATTTCATACATGTCATGAGAGGTAAAGGTAAGTAGCTGCTTCTTTTTTTTTGTTGTTTTAACTTTATGATATACAAAGAGAGGTCATTTCATTACTTATGGTAGTTGGATTTCGATGCTACTACTAAGAAGGTGGTCAATGCTGAAGGTCGCTCTCTAAACTTTGAAAATATCTTTTAACCCCAATTAGATTTTAGAATTTTTGTGTCATTATCCCTAAACATTTTGATAAAATACCATTTATCACCTCCTCTTCCCTTACATTTTGCTTTATAACAAGTTCTAATTTCTTTTCTTTTTAAATCTCACAAAGGATTAGTTTTTACCATTCACACATTGCTTCTCCATTGTGAAGTCCTAACTCTACCAATAAAGGTCATTGTGATTTGGTCAAACTTTAGGGGCTAATTTTTTAGTTTGACAAACCTTAGGAAAGGTAAATATAATTAACCCTTTATTTGGTCTACTTTACAGTTTTAGTGATTTGTACTTAATATCAGAGCTTGTCCTCGTACCACTTTACTTCTTGAATTTGTTTTCAAAACACTTAAGCCATTAAAATATTTAAATTGGATTTTCAAATGCAAAAAATTATGTGCATTAATGACTTTCCGCTCTTAATACCCTAAATTAGTCATAATAATTATGAAAATCATTAACATTAATGTAGCTACTTAATTTTAGAATATTGGATTTCCTTGCAACACATCATGTTATGATCCCACTATAACTTTTTCTTTTGGAAAAACACCTATAATCTAGTGATGTTTTAGGTTTTCAAAATTAACAAACAAAATATCATTTATTTCATTCTAGATTTTTTAAGAATTTAATTTTTTTAGTTTAGATATTGTTTAGTTAATTGCACTACAATAATGTAAAATTGATTGCTACAGAATAATCAAAATGTAAAATTACTTCATACTATATAATTACTAATAATGTATTATAACCTATTCATGTTATTCAGTAGTGAAAGATATAAAAGTAGAGAACTTATGGATTTGGTAGAAGAAAAAGGAAAGTGAAAAGAAAAAGAAGAGCATAATATTAAAGAAAATGTCCATCAATAGTTGGGGTTTATTTATGTCAAGAAATATTAATAACTTGAACTAATAAGTTTAAGCATTGATACAAAATTTTTTAATAAGAAATTCAAACCAATTTTGATTGCAAGGACTAAGGATGCAAACGAGCCAAATCAAGTCGAATTTTGATCCTATCGAGCTGCGTGTGACTTGTTCATGTGTGAGCTCGAGTTTGAACTTGAGTTCAACGAGCCAAGAAATTGGACCACAAGCTTGACTCGACCAAGGAAAATGCAACTTCGAGCTCGAGTCGACAAGGCTTGAGAGTTAAAGCTGGATTTTAACTCATGAGCAGCTCGAATTGTCAGCTTGAGTTACGCTCCAATTTTGGGCTCCCAAGCAATTCGAATTTTGCTCAAATTTCTGGAAATTCAAACTATAAAAATAGCATTTTGTCCATCTATTCCTAATCAAATTTGAGCATAATAATAGCCTACACTTTTAAGCTATAATTGATGATAGTTTTTCACATGTTCCCAATCGAATTTAGGCTTACAAATTATCCACTAACACAATCATACAATTAAAAAATATGAAGACATTAAAGTCCAAATATCCAACACTTCAAGGATTATTCAACTATTGTCACACACACAATAGGATCAATCAAGTAGATAAACAAGGTTCAAAGGGGAAATGCATTGTCTTAAATAGCTATGAGCCTATGAACAAGCCATGAGTTCTCCACTTATCCTCTGCAGTCTAGCCTCAAGTTCTCAATTCTGCACAGTAGCTAAAATGTGCACCATTGACTACATTAAACAAAAAAAAAAAAACACCAAGTGAGTTGGCAAAAACAAGCCAAACACCAGTTGAAAAAAAATTAAAAAATTAGCCAAATACACAACATAAATGGCCAAATACTAGCCAAGAAAAAAGTCAAAAAAACAGCCAAATACACATCATAAATAGTCAAAAACCAACCAAATACTAGCCAACATAAAATAATCCAAAAACCAGCCAAATACTAGCCAAGAATAAAAAGACTAAAAAATAGCTAAAAATGAACCACAAGTAAGATTATAAGAAGAAAAATGAAATGCATATTACTAAAATGAGATAAGTCAAAAAATAGGCAATACAATCTCTTGTGAAGTCTTCATTTTCTACAAAAAAGAAAAGAAAGTCAAGAAATAGTGAAATAAGACATATTTTAAATACTATGTATAGTAATTTTGCTTTTTAGTCACCTTTTCCCTTTTCTTAACCTCATGTAGTTTGCGACACCAGTCTGCACATATCAACAGTTCTACAATTTTTAGAGCCAATGAAGTAAGGTAAGAGTCAATCACTCTAGTTCCAGCACTAATGTAGTTTCTGAAGCTACAATGCTTATAAGAATGGCTAAAATATCAGCAGTCATTCTAAGTAGAATATTGTATTTTGTTGTGTCTTTCCACCACTTCAAAACATCCAAGTTCACAGTATCCACATTTGAATCCTCTATGGCAGTGAGGAGACCATTTTCAAAGTAGGTATCCAAGTTATTCTTAGGGGCTTGAACACTTTCTATGGTAGTAATATGACTAAGAAATTGACTCATTCCCAAAATATGTGTCACCGATGAAGATGAACAACCACTTGAACTTGAAACATGCATCTCCACATATTCATCATACAGATCATACAATATTTGTCGAACCTTGCTTATATTAACTTGCACTTTATGTGGAGGATATATTAATGGAAAACAATAGTTTATGACTCTCATTTTGCACATCGGGTCCAAGATTGCTGCTATAGCCATCAATAAATTACACTCACCCTAATACTTGTCAAATTTTTGCTTCATCCTCCTAACCATTGATCGAGCAAAATCATCTTCATCATCTACCTTACTATTTAATTGTGCTTTTATCCAGCAGACTTCATTTAGATACAAATTAGCTATTGAATAATCACTACCAAATATGATATTAGTAGTTGTCTAGAAAACTTGTAAAAATTGCAAACTTTTTCCACTTTTTCCCAATCTTCTGTGGCTGGGTATAAATTGAAATCCGACTCTCTATCTCTAAATTTTGGAAAAATTTCTTAAAACTTTAGAGTACAATCCAACATCTCATAGGTTGAATTTCACCTTGTTTTATAGTCATAAATGAGCACTTTCCTTGGTAATTGAAGTTGCTATACAATAGCAGTAAAGAGCAAGCGTCTTCCTTCTGTTTTGTTTATAAACTCCACGCTCTCCCTTACTCTTGCAACTATATCTTTGATTTCATTGAAACCATCCTGAACCATTAAGTTGAGTATGTGAGCATGGCATCTCACATGAAACAACTTCCTCTTGACTAATAGGCATTTGCTTCTTGAGAAGATATCTTTCAAACATCTCAAAACAGTGTCATTATTTGAAACATTATCCACCGAGACTGTATAAATTTTGTTCTCAATGCTCCATTCCTTTAAGTACTTAAAAATAGCATCTGCAATTTGGATACCTCGATGTGCTGGAAGAAGATGCACAAAGTTTAGAACCCACTTCTGCAATCTCCAATGGCTATCAATCCAACGTCCAGCAATGACCATATACTCAATCTTTTGATTCTTGGACTTCCAAAAATCTATAGTCAAGCTGATTTTCTTGACTTTTTTCAATAAATTCCTCTACTTGGCGTTGGTCTTCTCTCTTTCATATACGGAAGTGCAATCATTCTTGTTAGTGGTCTAGCTAATTCTTTGTCATTCAAGCATCCCTCTTTCATCAGCAAATTGAAGCCTTCTTCCTCCACAATCGAGAAGGAATGCTCACGTATAAGCACCCATTCAACTGCTGCTTCTCTCATTGCAACCATATCAAACTATTGCTTCTTTTGTTGTTGTTCATTTTTCTTTTTGAGTTTTTGTAAGCGGACAGGACATGATTTGATATGCCGAAACAAAATTGACATTGTACTACTTTTGGTCTTGTTGAATTTAGCATAGCAGTGCATACACTCTAACATGAGAGTTTTTTGATGTCCAAGTTCTACATCATTGAAATCATCCCATACTTTAGACTTTCTGACTCTTTTCTTTTTTTTCTAAAAGCATCTAAGTCATCACCTGCAGTATTCTCTTGATTTGTAATTTGTTTGGTTATATAAGTATCACCTTCTGACCCCTCTTCTTGGCTCCCTATTTCTTTATCTCCAAGAGAGAATTTGAGCTCTTATTGATTCTCAATTCCCGTCTCTCTATTCAA